CCCCCATTCAGGATATCACGATTACATTTAGTTATATTTTAGTCAGAAACTATAAAACTATATGTTTATTCAGCTCACTGATCACAGGCATTTTTGTCAAACATATATCAGAGTAAAAAGGATTATAAAGGTTAAAAAGCAGAGATTTTACCTTTTTGCCAGGAGAACCAGCAACACGTCACAGTGACACTGAGGACGTTATATCAACAAAAAACCCTGGATAGAGGGGCTCAGTGAATGAGGAGGTGAATCTGTGTAGGGGGGTTAGTCCATCAGAGGAGACTCTGTAGAAGGACAGAGCACCAGCCCCCCAGTCCAGATACACTCCTACTCTGAGGGAGCCTGAGGGCTCTATGGGTATGCGAGTCTGTTTATTATTGTGCCAGACAGAGTAACTGTCAGGACCACAGCACAGAATCCATGACTTGTCATTGGTTCCAAGCCCACAGTCATCACTCCATCCTTTCCTCCTGATCCCTTTATAAGTCACTCCTATCCATGCTTCATCTTCATCCCACTCAGCCTCCCAGTAACAGCGGGCAGTCAGACTCTCTCTGCACAGAACTTGCTCCCAGCGGTCAAATCTCTCTGGATGATCAGGATGTGGCTGCTTTGCCCCACATGTCACCTTCCTGTTCCCCATTGACAGAGACAGGTATTTGTTTGCTGTGTTGGGGTCCAGTGTCAACTGACAGGAGTCTGTAGGCAAGAGGAAGAATTATTAATACCATCAGGCAGCCTGTACTTTAAAGTACAGGAAACACGTGGCCTCAACTCTGTGTCACAGCGAATAAACCCACATCCGGGTCCTTGAAGAAAAGTAATGGACCACAGGTTCACAATGCAACTCATTTCCACGTTTATGACAGTTCTTCAGGTTGGGGTAAAGATGAGGCGTGAGCCAAAGCGCATTACTTTATGATATATATGAGAATAAGCTTTATATACACATGCAATAGCATAAACATTAACCATACGTCTGGTTAGTGTGGTAGTAAATGTGGTTAAATGAACGATTTCTAGCACTGCTAGTTTATATTAATATTGTGTTGATATTTAAGGCAATACCATTGTCGGCCAGCAGAGGGACCTAGGACAGTTACGAAGAGGTAAAAGCCTAGGACAACAGGTAGCCAGACCGACGAGCAAGGGCATGTGGTAGTTTTTGCATGGAAGATAATGGCCGTTAAATAAAAGTTCATTGTTCATAAAACAAGTCTCTTCAATGACATATGAACAACATAAATATGGTAGACTAACAGAAGTAAACAGCAAAACTGTAATGACACGTTTATCAGTGCATGTATGTGTATATTCGCATGCATGGATTATAAGCCACAATGCTGGGTATGGCTGTCACTGTGTCAGGGCTCTCAAGTTTTGAGGACAGGCAAGAGTGACATTCCATAGGATGCCTTTTCATTGGTTGTTGTGTTGCGTTTAACCCAGATACAATAGTAATATTTTCTGATTGGCTATTGTGTAGGCCCTTTCTTTTTTTTGACTGGCTGGTAAGTACAGGCTCTAATGGTGCGTTCGTTCTCTCCAAGTCGGAACTCGGANTTATTTGGTCCATCCTCAATTGCATGTAATGACGAAAAAAAGTTAGGTGAAATGGAAATGAACTTTAATTCATTGGTACTATGCAAAGCAGGGGTTCTCAACTTGTGTTCACTATTTACTGGCATTCAATTTCAAACTAATTTAGAAAATGTGTTCGTGTATAAAACTGCATTATTCTACTGAATGTTTTCCACCAAATGACCAATACTAACAGCAATTGTGCTTTGTCATTATATTATTCTGTTGGACACGGAGACATAATGAATAAAATTTAATACAAAATCTCTTGTCTCCCTCCACCCCCCACAGGAAACCAGCTCTTCCTGCAGCAAGGACACTTGGGCCTACATCTATCCAGCACCACCACACTCTTGTCATTAAAAGCCAGGTAAATTGTATGCCATAGCCAGGAGGATACAGACTCATGAAATAAATTGCTTGATGTTTGATTGTAGTACATTATGTTTCATTTTTCTTCAGAGCTTCACAGTTCCAACAACAGCAAAGACAACACCTGCTTCAGAGAACAGAAAAGCCCACCTGCCAGACACTCATGCCTTTTATTGGTCTGCCTGTAGTTATATGGCAACAAAATGTGGAAATGTAAATTATGCAATTTTCCAACTGCCACAAGAGTTTCCCTGTTGAAGCATTACAGACTTAGTCATGGCCAATATTCAACAGTTTCACCTTTGCCATGTTTGTATAACAGTTGTGCATGTACATTTAGTACATGCAATGCTTTAAAGATTCATTTGACGACAGCACACCCTCTTGCTCACAAAGATGCTGCCAATCCAGCTTTGACTAACTATAGATTTCAGTGTCCTTCTAGGGCCAACATCAAAAGGGCTAGGAGAGGTGAAGTGAACTTCCTTCCAAATTACCCTTATGGAGAAACAAAGCAAACACTGGAACTCAGAAGGATTGCATTAGTGGAACAATTCAAACTGGCACCTGCTGAAAGAGACTGTGTGCTTATTAATGAGCACATGCAGCGTACTTTTGCGCTCCGGCGTGAAGAGATTGTGGCAACTTCTCCCCCTGTGGCTGACCTGAAGGAAAGATGGCCTGGACTGTTTACTGAGTCACAGGTAAGTTTTGACTCAGTAGCTCATTATATGCTGTATAATTCATAATTTAACCAACATCTCTTCCCCTAGCTCTACTTTGAATTTCATCGCATCACCAATCAGAATCTGCCGCTTGCTTTTTATGCAGCACTGGATGAATATTCACCTCAGCTTA